GCCCGGAAGATACATATCGACGGAAGACAAAACTAAGTCTTAAGACGACTGGCTAACGTCTAAACAGAGCTTTGCATGCTTTTCACCGTCTCTACCAAGCCAGTACTTTTCGGTGGTCTTTTCTAACATCGGGTCGACAAAAACGTTACTGCTTTCGGCTTCGGTCAAAACACTCAAATTAACTAGATTACATGCAGAAATAGTGAGCTCATGGCTGGGTCTCAGTATCCCCAGACCACGAGGTCACTCCTAAAAACAGGGCTACTACTATTTTTTATATTACTATTGTTTTTGTTCAGTAGATAAAAATCATCATCTCCATCGAAGATGGATCAACCCTTTCCCCCAACTCCTAGCTTTACATCGTTATCAAAATGAATCTAGATGTTAATTAAATTCAAATCAGGACATGAAAAGAAGCTAAAAGTCTATATAACAGGCTAAAAGTTTCAGTCCCGAAACCCTTCTGGATTCTTGAATCCACTGAATCAAGCTCGCTAATCTTGACTTCTTCTTTATCCGGAAGGCTGTCCTCCACCCTTCACCGTTGTCTGCAACGGCCTTGCAACTATTGTAGCGACACAATAGTTGCAACTCGGAGTGTTCACTGCTATTTCTGCAATCGGCTATTGTTTTTTCTCCCAATTTTCGTACTTCTCGTCCGCGCAACTAATGTTGTTCTGTTGTCTTTTAGCTTTTCTGCCAAAATGGCCGTTTCTGACGTTTCTCAGAAATATGACGTCATAATTCGAATTTTTAAAATTTTAAAATACCAGAATATTCTAGCCCTCACCGTTTGACCAATCGTTCCAATAACGTTCTTAATTCTTAATAATCACCAATCCGGAAGGCTCGCTGCTAAAATTTCGAATTCTGCAGATATTGCATTTTACACATTCTGGTCGAATGTCACATACTCCCCGGACAGTCCGGTCAATGTCCTCATTGAATCTCGCAATGTTCGTAAAATAGATACAGTGTCATCGAACAGAATTTACAAAATGCACGAAATTACTTTTATCCACGTCACATCGACTCACTGCAGAATATAAATGGCATCATACTACATCACTATAGCCTTCAAATTCTTTCATTTATCTGCACATTGAGGATATGACCTAAGATAAAACATATTTTCCGACTTCCAATGTCGATGTCCCGATTAAAACTTTTTCTCTTAGATTTAAAAGGTGTTGGCTTGCAGGACAGTCCTGCCAACCAACAAGCTAAAATTATCCTACTATGCTTCTTCCCTTCGGAAATCTTGCTTGTTATTGTCCTGAATATTAAAACTAAGAAACTCTGTGGTTAGAAAGAACAATGAAACAATCTCCCTCTTCGAGAGATTACCCAAGCCTTTCATGTCACCACAAAGTGATCAGTTCTCCTAGCTGAATAAAAACAGTCATGCAGGCTGGAATATTTAAATATACTCCTTTACTTAAGCCCTCCTAAATAAATAGTAAGTGAGTGTCTCTAAAGCCACTTCAACTAAAATCAAAATGCAAATTTATAAATGCAACAATTTCAAAACTCAACTAAATGTTTCAGTTTTCAATTACAACTTGGTTGCTTGGTTTCTCACTTGAGTTTTTCACACACATAAAACATTTCTGAGTTTTAACTTTTCTTCATCACTCCTTTGTTTTCTTCTTTTTTCGTCGTTTAGAATTTCTAAAACTTCTAAATTCTTCTAATTTCGTCTCTTTTTTCATCTTGTTTTTCGGTCATTCGTCAATGCTCCATTTCTTCCTCTTGTGATACTGACTCTGCACTCTCAGTCTCCGTATCTTGCAACACGTCGTTAGCTATCCTGACGCTGCTGGAAGCCGTCCTCCAACACTTCTGCTCTTCTACCCTCTGTTTGCAGCAAGGTAGGGGATCCACGTTAGATTCTCTGTTCCTGCAGAAGCTGTCGTGGAGACACAACGTCACGTTTCTCTCCAAATCTTCTTTCAGCATCTCTGCTTTCTCCTTTCCACTACGTTCACTCGTCCTGGATATTCTTTTCACAGCGGTGGTCACTGCATTCCGATGAGTCACGAGAGCTCGCTGGAAAGCTCCTGCTCCAATGTCCAGCTGATATTCACTGTACACTCTGCCATGCTTCGACATATGCTTTTTCGCATACTCGTACAACCATGCAGTCATGTTAGCTCTGAACCATGGCATCAATCGTTTTCTTGCCCATATCTTCTTCACTTCCATCGGAATGTTTAGAACTTTGCACATTGTCTCAAAAAGATCTAAATCTTTTAGACAATCTAATTTCCGCAATTGTTCTCTCGTCGGTGCCTCCTGTCTATTATTTTTTCTCACATGAGCTTCCAGCCATCGTATCGCCATCATAACTCCCACTATCACTATTGTTACGGGCTGTGATGAATCTGGTAAACCCATGGAGAGCAGCTCTCCAGATTCCCAGATCAACATCAGATTACTACGCTTGGGATACCACCAGGTCTGCAGCAAGCAGTGGCAAGGAAACTCGTCACGCGTCAACTTGATGCTATTCCAATTACGTTTTCCCGAAGCTTCCAGCAATGGTTCCACTTCCATCATCACTCGGTGGACTTCATCATTCTCATCTACTGCATTGTAATCTATGACAGTTGATCCTCTCTGTTTCTGTCTCCCAAAGTCACTGAAAATCCCGCTCACATATCCCATGAACTTCTTCCCTAATATTGACTCCAATTCTTCTTTGGTTCTCTCTGGAACTGCTGAGAACATCTTACATAGTAACTCGTAAGACTTCTCGGACATTCTCGCCAGTCTCACACACTTCGGCACTGAGAAGGCTTGATCCACAATCGTTCTTGTACTCTTCACGTCCACAGCTACGAAATGTACGGGGTATCTGCTCTTGCACATTGGAGCCAAATTTGAACCCACCAAATATCGTGCTCCTGATGGTCTACAATAAGTTTCGCTGTGTCTGATGTTCATTTTTGTCTCGATTGCTTCCCTCCATTTTCCTATGTATTTCTGCTCAGTCTGCAGCACTCCTGGGAATACTTCTACGCTGATGGCTGTGACCATCTCATGTTTCTGTTCCAGATTCAATAGTGACTCTAATGAACCAAACATGCTCTAGAATCCTAGTGCAGTCACTAGATTCGCATCGGTTCCTCCATGGCAATCTGCTATCAGTTCCGTTTCTGTTCTAGCTTTCATCACTACGTTTCCAAACAATACTGTCAATTGCTTGTGTTGTTTCTCCAGGGTCTTCACACAGTTCAGACCTCCATAAAAACGTGACCCTCCAGTCCACAGACTTCCGCCAGACAGCTACCAGGTTTGACCCAGTCTTCTGGTCCCCAGCCAGGCAACTCCACTTTATCTTCTCCGTTGCTCTTAGAGGCCGTTATCATCACATTATATATGATGTTGAGGTCACGCAGGTTACAGTCTGCATTCAGTTCCCTCTGTACGTCTTGTGTCGCCCGTAATATTGAGTCAGCGTTGGGACTAGGACACCATGATGGCCTCATCAATTCCCACACTGTCATCAAGCTCGTTCTCAGTAATTCATCTGAGAATCCCAACCCAAACTCCACTCTGTTGTCGGATTTTGGTACTGAAGGTGCAGTCACCTCTTCTTCCAAGACCAGTCACAATTTGGCCTGTGGATTGTTAACGCTCTTAATCGTTACAATTCTGGACGTCCAGAATCTTAGCAACACCGCCTGCTCATAATCGAAGAAGCAATCCCGTATGTCTTCACTCAGGAAAGGATTGTACAGGATCCCTATGATCCCGGATACGTAGCCATACGATTTCTTCTTGATAGGTCCACAGTATTCACTGGATTTCGGCAATGCTCCCATAGATTCTTTAGTGAGTCTCAGCTCCTTGTTTGAGAATCTCCTGATTTCGTCTATCTTTTTCATGGGTTCCAATTCCTCAGGTTCTTTCATGTTCACCCTCATCGGTTTACTTTGCTGCATATCCAGCAGTGCTAGCAAGAATAAGGCTTTCGTTCGCTCATCGCCTTCCCTCAACATTTTAACACAAGTGTTTAATGCAGGTACTGAAATCTGCTCTATCAGGAATCGAATGAAACAGAGAGCGTCTCTCCGCTTCGCACACGCTACTGCTGCTCCCTCCTGGACTATCAGATCCCCCAGATTCGTCATAAGGAAAACCTTTTCTTCTTTTGATCTCTTCCTTTCTTCTGAATCATATTCTTCGCGAGTCAGTCCCATCATGCACCAGGCGAACATTAGTTGTAACTCTGTTCTTACGTAAGGTACTGCCACGAGAGCATGTATTCTTGGCGTAGTCCTCATTTCTTCTTCGAAATACCTCAATACTACTGCTTTCCATGGAAGGCTCACTAACTGCTCGATCGTTTCCGCCTGTATGTCAGACGACGCCACAGTTCCATACGCCTTCTGCTTGAGGGTGGTGCCTTGCAACATCGTTTCCAGATAACCCTCCATGGCTTTTTCGTCTTCCAGGGCCATTACATACCCTCTAGCCGAGTTTCGGTATTCTAACATCTCCATGTATCCACCGGTGGGTTCACATATCGACACAGTCTCCGATACTGTTAATCGGTTGTACTCTACTGGAGTTAGTTGTCCTGCGACACTTCCCTTTTCATGATTCATGGGAGATGGCTTGAAGTCTTTCAATTTGCTCTCTCCACATTGGCCATTGATATTTCCATTTCTAAGAATGCTCCAGTCAGAGTGCGGTCACTCCTTTTGGATTTATATTCGGTTGACTTTATCCCCGCCATGAGAATGGGTGGCACCATCGCTATATCAGATAATATTTTTATCTGTGCCAGGC